TTAAAAGCATTGCGTAATTAAGTAATGTAGTCTCTGTGGAATACATTATATAGCTACAAAACATATAAAATAGGAATACACCTGGGAAACTATTACCCAGCGATTGTTTAATTGTCTCCCATTATTTAAACATGGCATTAATAATACATATAACAGATTTTTCCAAAGCATCACAGCCTCATTGGTAAAAGGGTAACTACATAAATATTAAAAATCGAAAGACTAAAATAACTCAGTCCTGCTAAACCAGACTGATGCACGCTCTCGGTTGCATGCACCCCACACAAACTACTGTACAGGGTACCAGAGGTTATCACCCATCTCGTGGTGTATCAGTTAGATTTTACTTTGCTTTTATGCATGCTTACGGTTGAGTGCAGTTGTTTTTTTAATGTCTGCCTTGCAATGTGATTCAATCCATTTGGGTAGCTTAATGCAAAGATTTCACAACATACACAGGGATGAGTAGCACTACAGCAACGAACATAGTACTCATTATTCTTTTAACGGGAATGTCAACAAGAAGAGGAATTAGAGAGGAAATCGTTGTAACTCCAAAAGAACATCTGACTAACCACTACAGATGACATGTTTTTTCCCTTTTTATCCGCTTCATGATCCATAAAGCAGGATTTTTCCAAAACAATTAATTTGGTTGCCAAACCCTTCTTAATTCTAAGGAGATTTAAAACTCATCTACTTGGAGTCTGTCTCACAGAGCTAGACCCACAACCGGATTACAAGCTATTCCATCATATGGCTGTTGTTAGCCCAGTTACTGCTATAGTATATAACTGGACTGTTTAAAAAAAAAAAAGGAAGATACATAAACTTCCAAGTCTTCTTTACACTAAGCTCACTGGCACCTCCGCAATTTATTGTGTTACTTCCTCCTTAAGTAACCATGACCTACAGTCCCCAAAATTAACATCAATGCTCTAAACTAAACAAGTTCATCAATAGCAATGGGCATTCCAATCCTACAGCAAACCTGAGGTTTAAGTTGGTAAAATAGCTCTTTGTGTCTAGTGTTGGAGAGCATATGGCAAATTTCCACTTAACAGGAACCTTGGTTTGCAACACAAAATAAGTCCCGTGTTAATTCTTTTAATTATTGCATGTGTGTTTGTAAAAACACAATCTATATGCTGGTTTGTTTTTTTTAGAGAGCATCAGTGACCTTAAAAAAGACAAGGCAGACTTAAATCCCAATTCACCCTTTTGTAACATCACTGACTTAGAGCTGGGATTGTGGCAATGTTTTCTTTCTCTCTGCTAGAGGTGCATAATGTTCTATGCTCAATCTTTGCAAGCCAGGACAGGGGCAAGAGTTAGGTAACGTCTACACTTCACAGCTGTGGTCTCAGGCTACCAATGACCCCAAACAGAGACCTCCTGAATACAACACAACCCCCACCTAGCCTTGCGCATGTTACCTTTATGTGAGAAAATGGAGGAATGTCCTCAAGTCTTGTCCCAAATTGACACTAGACATGCTAGTTTAAATATACTGCTGTAAATCTACAGATTAGGATTTCACTGTAAGGTATAAACAATTTGATTGTTTTGCTCACATCCTCATCCTGTATGTTCCCTCAATGTATTTCTTTTATTTATAATATAATATAATATAATATAATATAATATAATATAATATAATATAATATGATTGCTATTAAGCTTGTAAGCATAACTGTAGAAGCCCAAAGAGTGCAGCTGCATGCCCACCTCAATGCAAAATTAGCAGAAACTGGTCTGAGAGAAGAACAAAGGTCTTAGGTAAGTGCATTACGGGAAAAGTGTTTCTTCTTCCATGAACTTAAAGAATTATGTGAGATACTAGTATCCACTAAAGATGCTGCTCTAAACTTTTCCTTCACCATCAAAATAACACTCCTGGTGTGTTATTTTGTAATTGCCCCATGCATGGCCCCACTCAGATCCCACAGCGTTAACCTGATCATATGCATGTGTGAGAACAAAACTTTCAGATCGGTAAATATACTCCAGAAACCAGGGTTTCTGATGGTGTAATTTCTTTTTTTTCCTTTCATGCATCTAGCGATACATCAGTGCTCTTACTTGGTAATATTTTTCTACTAATTATTAATGTAGCAAATCTAAAGTAATTCCAAAAACTAGAAACTTATGCCTTTTATTAGTTCATTCATCCTGTCCTTTTCTAACTCAGATTGTGACTGGATATGACAGTGACTGCAAAAGATGCATTCTCTTTTTTTATTATTTTTTTTTTTGTGCAGGCCTTTTATAACTTTTATTCCCAGGTTAAATATAAACTAACTTCACAACAAGTGCAACACAAACAAGAGACTCTAGAGCTGACTGCCCGATACACATCAACACTGGCAAAATACATAGGACAACACAGTAATTTGAAAGAAATAATGAATTAATTACAGAAGATGGAGTAGAAGTGGTGTTTGACTTGCAGCTTGCACTGATTACCATAATACAGAATAAACTACAATCTGGAGAGAGTATCTTTCTGGGAATACCCTCTCCATTTTGAAAACAAAAGAGATATAATACTGTAAGTCAAAGGGATACTCATGTACATGAAGACAAATCATTCACATTCCTATATGCAGCCCATATTCTACTTGGAGTTGAATCATTTAATTTAACCATTTAAAGTTTAGTGTGCTAAGAAATACAGTGCTTAAAGCTAAATATTTAAATTCAGATAAACTCTTTTAAATTATTTTTTTCAAAACCAAAAAGCACTGGTATCAGATTTTCACCTTTTGGTTTCAGTTTCCCAGTTCGTAAGAGGAATCCAAATTTATCCTGTCTAATAAATGTCTCGTAGTGCCACAGCACAGCTACCCCAACATAGATCCTCTTTGGAGAGGGAGGCTGAAGTGTGAGTCTGTGATGAATTCCAGCTCCTGAATCTAAGGTTAGATTTCTCCTTCCCATCCTTAAGCAGTAGCAGCTATGGCACTCCCTCTTGCTGCTCCACTCATCAGTGTGTGGGATCTGTTTTGCCCTACTACAGAAAAGCACAGGGAATGCCCCTTTTCCACTTCCTTCTTTTTGTGCATCTCAAACCAACTTTACCAACATTAACTAACAATACCCCCCCTCAGCTCTGGTTTGTTCAGCATGTTATATCATTTAGAAAGAAACAAACTGTGGCACTTTCTAAAACAAAAATTGTTTTTAAGAACATCTGGCTGGCCAGCTGTTTGGAGTCTCCCAGTAAGGAACACTGCCTTTGGAATCCACACTTGTTGCTCCTACAGAGTCTCTGCATTGCTCACCGATCTGTCATCTGCCTGCATGGCACGCCGCCCACTCTTAAGTTGGCCTGATCTTTATCCAGGATAATAAAGCAACACGGATTTGAACTGACAGTCTCAGTAACTGCAAGTGTCACTTCTTCTGCTGGAAGTCCTTCTGCAGTGACAGCATTGCTTTTCTTGCTAGACTGCAATCTCAGGTTGGTATTTCACTCCCACTGGCCCTTCGGCTCTGTTTTAAAAGCCATCACAGAGATATTAACGCAGAGCCATAGAGTTACTACTGAATACAAAATACAAAATGTTGCATTTTTAGATATATCATTTTAATGTACATAAATGCTTTCCTTCCAGTTAGGATTTAAATATTTGAGGTACATGAAAATGTAAGAAAAGTTAATTATCATGTAATACAGAAACTAAGTCACAAAACTCTCATCTTAGTGTGACAAGGATTTGCCCCTAAATGTAATTCTGATAAAGCCGTTTTAAAACAATCAGGTTAGGACCCAACTTTGTACTCATTAGTTGATCAGTACCATGCTCCAAGGAAGTCCCACTGAAATTAATGAGCTTTCTGCTAGAGACATACATGTGATCCTGGGTATCAGGATAAGGTTCCTTATCCCGATAGAGTGAATGCTGTTTTGCAGGAGTTCCATATGTGAATGATCTAGCTGGACTTGCTTTCTGACACCACACTGGGAAACACTTCTTTTGGGGGCACCACAATTTATAAATTACTTCTACAATCCCTGACTCAGAAGCAGCCTTTTTCCTTCTCAAATTCCGCTTCATTTTAGTGAGCGCATTTGCTCTGCAGCCCTCACAAATCAACAAGACATTGCTTTTTTGTTTTTTCCAGAGATCTGGGTGGCTTATGCACTGAACTGGGGAGAGCAAGTACTGGATCATCATTATAACCATAATTTATCTCTCAATCAGTTGTTACATAGTGAAATGTAAAAATTTTAAATCTTTAATCTGGAAATAACTGATTTAGGTTCTTGTTTTCTAAGATGATCTGGTTTAAGCAGAGTTGATTGTATCTGACTGGAGAGGTCTTATACTAACTTTCTATTAATTAGCATAATAGCACATTTACATTTGGAGCCTTTTTAATTAAAAAAAAAACCAAACAAAACACACACACACCTCAAAAATAAATAAATAAAAAACAAAACAAAACCAAAAAAAACCCTCCACAAACACAAAACTACTTTCAAAGAAAGAAGTTCCTTACACAAAGAAAACAGTAAGATGAGATTGACGCTGATACTTCCTTGGAGAAACTGCTGTAAGGCAAAGCTTGCATCACTTCAGTGTATGCAACACAGCCCCTTCATCTTACAGTTTTCATGACAGTGAGCAGAGAAGTCAGGACTGGTTAGGGAAAGGTTTACTGGGCACCACACAGGCAGGCAGCCAAAGTGCATGATTCCCCTGTGTGCCTCTGCACTACGACTTTTGACTGGGCAACAGCAGTAGCTAGGCCACTGCTTGCTCCCCAGCAGGCAGCCAGAGATGAAGAGAGATGAAGGCAGAGTGGCTCCACGGAGCCCAGAGAAAGCAAGCGGCACTTGGGACTGGGCATCCTCAGGGTTCTGGCTCTCCTAGGCTGCAGCAAGGAGGAAAGAGACACAAGCAGTTAGCTGGGCACTGCGTCCAAGACAGCACAACCAGGCAGTGCCCCTAGCACAAATCCCTTATCTCCAGCCCCTCTGTTTTGTTCTTAGGTTTAAGTACACAGTCTGTCTTGTATATGCATCACATAAAAAATTACTGATGTTCTAGTAAGGAACTTAATTCCGTATGTTCATCTTACTTCCCATTTACTTCTTACTCATAACTAAGAGATTAAACACCAGCAAAAGCTTTACACAAATGACTTGCAGATGCACATTTGCAGCAGGGGAAAGGTAGTCACTTACATTGGTATTGAAGCATGCTTAAAAACTAAGGTGCTCATTTTTAGGCATCATAGAATATTATGACAAACCAAAAGAGCTGCAAGAGCTCTGAAAGCTCATTGCACTACTGTCTTTGTGAAGAAGGCTACAAAACTGAGACCACTTCTGTACTTCAGGAGACTTCTGAACCATGTACTGAAATCTCTCCATGCTTAACAGAAAGTTCTTGAAAAAGTATCACTCATGAGCTATGCATTCTGCATAGGGATAAGGTTATAATTAGAAATTGATAATTATTTCCCCCTTTCCCTATTTTCATTCTTTCCATTTTATGGGATTTTTTTAGCTTGCTTGTATTCTCTGTTCTTTTGTTACTATAGGGTCTCACTAAGATTCTTCATCAGATTAAGCTTTAAAAGAAAACACATGCACAGCATAGCACACCATTTCTCTACAGTACAGAGAAACAACATGAAATCTGCAGCGGCAGAGTCATCCTAAACTACCCTCATACTTACACTGGTATTCAGGCTCTGTCAGTCTTCTTCAGGGGCACTAATAATGTTGTAATGGGACTTGGAGACAAAACTGTCAAATTCTTTCCAAGACAATCTTCCAGGCTCATCAGCATAGGCAATCATTTCTTTCACTTCTGGAGTAATAGGAAGATTTTAAGCAGTATCTTTTGATTTGAGTTGGACTTGAAAAATGACATAGCTGGGGGCCTTATTTGAAATGCAACGAGACTGAAACGTAAAGCGCAGTTTCCCATGCAGTCTGCAGAGAGAATGAGGCACTTGTCCCAGTTCTCTTAATTGTCTCTGATTGCTGTTTGTGTAGCACAGTCACTTCCCCGTCTTCAAAATCATCTTCAAGGGCTCCAACATTTTTCACTTCACTGTTTTAAATCAAGAAGGGCTAAACATCCACCCATTCAACCATTATGGCTCTTTTTATGCTTTTATGTGGTTTGTGCTATTAGGCTTTAAAATTTTATTTAATTGGCCTTAACAAGTACTTAAGTAACAGGTTTGAGGACACATCACTGGGACTCAGCATATGTTGATTAAGGTGTGCTTAACCTGACAGTTAATATTTTGTACCATTTTCCCAGCAGCCGTTACTGTTATGGAAGAAGTGCTAATTTTCCAAAAATGGTTAGAGCTTGATTATTATGTTGGTTCTTTATTCACATGGCTTCATTATTTTGTTGGCGCTGCCCTGTGAGAGATGAAGTAGTGCTATTATTTCTACTCCCAACTCCTTTCAGTCTTTTGCAATCATTTAGGCACATGTGTGACATGACTCAGAGAAGCAATTCTGTTTGCCTTCAATGAGACTGCACAGATGAATACACCCCAAAAAAACAAGCTGCTCACCTTCAGAAGTGAGCACAGGATTTTCTGGCATGTACATGGGAAGGTGAACAAGAAACAGTAAAAATCACAGTCCTGTGTTCCACCATATCTTCTTTGTTTAAGTAAATAGCTTTCATTCACAAGAGAAGTTCTGCCAGCTGGAAGTCCTAAAGCCTCTTATTTTTGGGGAGCCCAAAGCAGCCAGGAGGGAAAGGTATCAGAAATTTCCAAGAAAGGTTGCAGGTGAGTGGAAGCCAGAGAGGCCACTTTGGCCTCTAAAACTGGAAAGTCTGTTCTGGTCTGTGGCTGGAATATTAGAAGCTGATACTTCCTAGTTATTCGACACAGCAGAAGTCCAATTTAGCTTTTTACATCAAATTATTTATAAAGTCAGCAGGAGGTGGAGATAAACTATTCATTTTGCGCATATCTATGTAAAAGGAACTCTCAGGAGAGATCCTCAAGGTCCTGCCAAGAAAACAAGTGGAAACATTTTAAGAATGGGAGGAAACACTTATAATTGAAACACCATAGTGTATTTTGATTAGTTAATTCTACCAGAATAAAGAAATCACCTTTCCTTAGATGAGTGGGTGGCACAAAGGAGAGCAGAGGAGGGTATGAAGGCTGGAAAAAAAATGTGACTATCACCCCAGCATATTCTGCCAGCCTGCTGGAGCTCTATGGCCCCAATGCTCAAGACATCCTGATCTGACCAGAGAGCACCCAAGTACACCTGCTACCTCTCTCCTTCATTTCTTCTCTAGTTGTCAAGGTAATACTACTTATCATTGTACCACTACCAGCTTCTTGTGGAGATGCACCTAAAACAACATCTCCTACAACCTCCTACTCATCAAAAGGGTTTCCAAGACCATTTATTGAGTAGCTTTTGTGTCCCTAACAGCACAGTTGCAAATGAAAGGCAAGACAGAAGCTGTCTCTCTTTTGCCTTTATTCATTGAAGAAATAAAAAGTTGAAATGTTGACTGAATGTTGTCTTACTTTTCCATGTTATTATTATTTTTGTTGTTATTATTCCAATTACCACAACAATTCTGCTCAGTCATGGATCTAAATCTTCCATGCACATTGTTACTGCCCCAAGGAGCTACCAACAACAGGGAAGAGACCATAGATGGGCAGAGTCCAACAGACCGCAGGGAAGGAAACAGTCACATAATCTGGGTTAAGCATTGTTTAGGGGGACTCAGAACATCTGCACTTTCATCTTAACAAAAATAGGACTCCAATAATATTAAGAGCAGGGCTAGTTTCAAACCACCTAAGATAACTGGGTTTTACTCACAAAGTTAATGCCACATAAAATGTGAATTTTCTTTAAAGCTCCTGGTCTAGCAACAGGCAAAGGGAATAAGGAATGTTTTTAAAATAAAAACTTCTGCTTTAAATACAGCATTCAAAATTAAAAGTATTAATTGTTTTGCATTCTTGAATAAGGGTTAAGGGTTTTCTTAGCAGTACTTGTGAGAATGGGCATAAGCCAGTGTTAACTTGGCAGAAACCCCAAACCACTTTAGCTATTCCCTATTGTAACAGTGAACAAAGATTTTATTAACATCGTACCCCTTGTTGAGCCCAAGTGTTCCTCTTTTCGACATAACAGGAGCTTTGAGTCTTCGATTTGCAGGTCTGTGGCGGGGATTTATGCCTGCAGATCCAGCATGTTGTTCAGAATTTGTTTACATTTATTTCCATTTATTTCAAAAGTTTTCTATGAGAAGCAGAGATATTTAAAAAAACTTTTACAATGTATCTGATTTGGACACAAAATCAACACATTAAAAGCCTTCCAAACTCTAAAAACTGAACATGAAAGACGGGATGGAGGAGGGGCTGTTGCGACTAGTTCACAAAGTCCACGGTATGTAAGAGCAGCAGAGGAAAATCAGAGCAAAACAAAACCCTTCATTGAGAAAATCTTGCTCCCCAGGTTCCTACTAGTCCAGGTGACTCAGAAAAATCACATCTGTTGTGCCATCAGGAGGAGAAAAGGTGTCACACCACTCACTGAGACAGCCAAGCAGAGTTGCATCCATTGCCCCACCATGTTGGTGGACCTTGAAGGTGCACAGTCTGTGAGTGTAATATCTCCACAGGGTGCCACAGCCTCCACTCATTCTCAGACTAAGTATGGATCAAGGACCCTGTGTTCATCTAGTCTGAAGGTTATACTGTAAACAAACAAACAATTTTTGGTCAAAGGGACACAGCAGATTTCACAGTGACTGCTGCTGTTTAGGAACCTGGAAGGAGCAGGAGGTCTTAAAGGACACATACTTTAATAAAATACAGACAGCAATTTCCTCCGTGTCTATACTCCTGAAACCCCCATACCAGCATTGAATGGGATCAGACAGGAACAGCCTGGAGCAACTCAGGATCCTGTGAAAAAGGGAATGCAGGGGCTGCATGGTGAGATTAAATATATCCTGCTCAGCAGTAAGGGAAACTACTCATAAATAATTGTGCACCCATGGCATGCTCATCTCTCAGAGAGGATGTTCTTGCCCCAAACACTCAGCATCAACCCTATCCCACTGACTCTTGAGGACCCACAGTATTGCCAATCCTTGCTCCTTGATGGATTTAGGTTGAGGCATTTTGAAAGGAAAATCTGCTGTCACCTGGCAAGAGATATTTCAAGACCAAACACCTCATAGTCACTTTTAAAGAGAAACCTACAGTTTGCAGTCTTTCACAGTAAGGTGGTGATCAAATCCAAAGCACCTGGCTTCCTCGAACAGGAGGGACAGACACTTCACTCATAGACTTTCCCCACAAGCACAATATCCTGAGCCCAAAGGTTTGCCTTTCTAATATGTCAAGGTTTACTAATCCATTTTAGTTTCCAAATATGTCAGCATTTCCTGATGCATTCTGTGCTCAGCTTCAAGGCCATGAGAGCATTTTGTGGGAAATGTGCTTCCTTCCTCCTTTGACCTTGCGATGATCTGTTGTTCATAGTGCAGGGATATGCACCTTTGTAGCCTCAGGCACTATGAAGTAGCATCCCCTGTGCTTTTTGTGTCTTCTCTAGTGCTTGATCTCACAGAAAAGCTGGACACAAAGAGATTTATGTACTTTTTTCAAATGGGAATAAAAAAACCTCAATCTGATTTTGCATGAATTTATAGCAAATTTCTTTTCCTTTTTTTCTTTTTTTTTTTTTCTTTAAGCAAACAGCAATTTCAGTTTCTCAGCTTCTTCGCCAGGGTCTGTGTTTCCAGCTTGTGTTCCAGCTGCTGTAAAATAGCAAATAAAACTGGCTGCTCTCCTACCTCGAGAGGGCACCAAGAGACAGTTGAAAAAAGGACAGAAGCAATCAAGCTTTACCTCAGGCACCAAATATTTCGGTCATGAGGATGTTCAATTACAGTAATTAGCAATAACCACATAAGCAACAGGAGCTTCCCTTACCTCCCGTCACCCCTCCAAAGAATGGAGTCTGCTTCATTAAAACCTCTGCTTCCTCCTTAATCCCAGGGACTGGTTCATGGGTGCTTCCTTCAGAGACCTGAGGACCTGGACTCACCACCACGGCTTCCCAAAGCTGCTGCCCGGTGTTTTAACTGCAAAAGGAAAAACATATTATCATGAATCACCTGACTTCAAAATCGAAATTTTAAAAAGGGAAAAAAAGTCTAAAATGTTAACAGGATCTATTAAGCAAACCAGAGCCCATTGTTAGTATGACTACCACTACATTTTCTGCAGCAACTCTGACCTCCTTACAAGAGATGAACACTGTTTATGAAGCAGGATTTGGGGTTTGTTTTTTTTAATAATTATGTTTCCCTCCTACCACCTGGTATCCAACCAACTTAGCCTGACAGTACCTAATTTCCAGGGGGAAAGCTGAAGTTACCAGTTTTAATGAAGGTTAAATGAAACCCCATTTCTTTAAAGAAATGCCCACTTTTTTATCCTGGAAGCATCTCAGTCTGGTAACAAACACAAGGCCATTCTTTCACCCTCTGATTCAAAGCATCCCAGTGGAAAGGTGCAGGGCACTGTACTTGCAGGACATGCAGACAGCAAGGCAGTCCCAGGCAAGGCACTCAGCTACAGCCGGCCGTGGAAGGAATGGAGCTGAGGGGTTAATACCTGCAGTCCAGACCTCTGTGCACCCAAAGAGATTCATGCCATGCCATGAAGACCCTATGCCATGACCTGCAGAAGTGAGGAGATTAACTATAAATATCAAAAATGAATTTTAGCAACATTTCTACTTCCTTTCTTTGCTACATTGTCTTTATAATGTTGATATTCTAGTTGCATACCTGCTTGTCAAATCTGATTTTTGGTGCTATTGATAAATTTGCAGCATAAAACCTGAAGAAAACCAAAGCAATTTCAAACCAAAGTAGTAAATTAAAAGTAAGTAGGTTATCTTTATCTGTTAAAAATTACTCAGTGAGTTTGGGTAAAGAAAGGGAGGTAGAGGGTTTTGAATGGGCTTAGTTTTCTCAGTGTGGTTAAAAGAACAGGCCTGGGTACTCCTGACTTCCAAATAGGCTGAAAATACAAGCTGCCTCCAACACAAAAGCATAAAAGCATATTCATTACTGACTCCCCAGAAACCAGAATTATGCTTCTGATGTCCTTAATGCACTGTCTGAGCCATCCATTGTAGACTCAAAGTCTAGATTCAAGGTAGAGCGTGAAGTAACAAATCTCCACAGCTGGGCATACATTCACATCGTGAATTGATGACTGTCCAATGTGAATGACAAAAGCAAAGGAAGAAACTGGAAATTCTACCAGACTGCTCTGTGAGGCTTTAGGTCCCTCTGCCCCCAAAATAACAGGCAACATGTTAAAGGCAAAGAAAACAATTTATAAATTCAGAACATTTTTCAGTCTTCTGGTGATTTCAGTCAGTGACATTTCACAGCCAGCAGTTTCCTATATTTTGTACACTCAGGAAACCACATGAACACTACTTCCTCATCATGGGTGAACTGAGGGCAGAGGCAGTAAGGCCTTGCTGTTGGAAAGAACAACCTTCCAGAAAAAACACAGTATACAGAGGAAACTATGAATTTCAGTTATATAAATATAAGAAAATAAGTGGTTCATTCATAACCAAGAGGATTCTACTTACACCCATTTATTTTTGGGCAAAGTTGCTATCATTTAAACAAAATTTTAGGACTCAGATTACAACATGGAGAATTAAATAACTGCATTTCCTTTCTTCTGCATAGGCTTACAAAGATGACCATTGTATGGATTGCTTTTGTCCGCATCTCAGATTTCTGAAAGCCTCCAGAGCTCACGATGATGATATCCTGATGATGATAAGATCCTGATGACAGGTTCCTACAGATATGAGGATCATGAGTTAAAAAATAAGGCAACTAACAATATGTGGATCTTGTGAGAACCTCAGGTATTTATATCTCCATCACTCCAGCTCTATCCTGGGTAGTTCTTCATAAAGGCTCACAACAGGCAAACAGCAATCTTACCAAGTTCAACCAAGAGAATTGCCAAGTCGTGCACTGAGGGATGAATAACTCCAAGTACCAGCAAAGGCTGAGAATAACCAGTTGGAAAGCAGCTTTGAAAGAAAAGCCCTGGGAGTCTTAGGGGACCCCAAGCTGACCATGAACCAGCAAGCTGACCTTGCAGCAAAGAAGGTCAATGGTTCTTCAGCAGGTCAAGGGAAGTGACCCTTCTCCACTCTTCAGCACTGGTGTGGTCCCATCTACAGTGCTCAATCCAGTCCCGGGCTCACCAGTATAGAAGAGACATGGACACACTGGAATGAGTCCAGCAAAGGGCCAGGATGAGAGTTAAGGGACTGGATAATCTCTCGTATGAGAAAGAGCTGGGACTGTATAGTGTGAAGAAGCTCAGGAGAATCTTACGAATGTATATAAACACCTGATGTGAATGAGTAAGAAGACAGAGCCAGACTCTTTTCAGTAGAGCCTCTCACTAGAGAGGATAAGAGGCAATGGATATGCATTGAAACAAGAAACTCCATTCAAACGTATGAAGTTTTTACTGGGTATAAGGTCTAATGCTGGAACAGGTTGCCCAGAATGTCAGTCTCCATCCTTGGAGATATTCAAAACCTGACAGGACACAGCCCTCAGCAACCTGCTGTAGCTGACCCTGCTCTGAGCAGGGCTTGGAACAGATGGCCTCCAAAGGTCCCTTCCAACCTCAAAGCTTCTGTGATTCTGTGACTGCCTAGCTAGTTCTCTTCCCAAGTTATTGATGTGTTTTGCTGCAGGAAGAGCAACAAGCTGTATCAACAAACTCTTGCCACTGGAAATGCTGAATTGATTGCTAGAATCGCACCAGCCAGCTGGAGCAAATGTGAGTTTCTGCTTGAAGGCCTGCCAACATAAACATTATTGCTGCAGAATCTGAGCTCCAGCTGTGGGCTATATGCCAGACTTCTTAATGTGCCTCAAGAACATAAACATCATTACCACAGTACCACAGTATTAGCACCCCAATAAGAGCTGTGATAGCAGTGGGAGGGGCTGGATGAAATGGTGATTGAACCTGTGCCACAGGTGTACCAGAAGAGGTGAAAATGCCTTAGACCAGCCAGAAAATCATCCTGTGAAAAACAAGAGCTATGAACATAGAATCATAGAATAGTTAGGGTTGGAAAGGACCTTAAGATCATCTAGTTCCAACCCCCCTGCCATGGGCAGGGACACCTCACTCTAAACCATATCACCCAAGGCCTCATCCAACATGGTCTTGAACACTGCCAGGGATGGAGAATTCACAACCTCCCTGGGCAACCCATTCCAGTGCCTCACCACCCTAACAGGAAAGAATTTCCTCCTTATATCCAAACTAAACTTCCCCTGTTTAAGTTTTAACCTGGTACCCCCTGTCCTGTCACTACAGTCCCTAATGAAGAGTCCCTCCCCAGCATCCTTGTAGGCCCCCTTCAGATACTGGAAGGCTGCTATGAGGTCTCCACGCAGCCTTCTCTTCTCCAGGCTGAACAGCCCCAACTTTCTCAGCCTATCTTCATAAGGGAGGTGCTCCAGTCCCCTGATCATCCTAGTGGCCCTCTTCTGGACTTGTTCCAACAGTTCCATGTCCTTTTCCTGTTGAGGACACCAGAACTGCACACAATACTCCAGGTGAGGTCTCACGAGAGCAGAGTAAAGGGGCAGGATCACCTCCTTCGACCTGCTGGTCACGCTCCTTTTGATGCAGCCCAGGATACGGCTGGCTTTCTGGGCTGCAAGCGCACACTGAAACCGGCTCATGTTCATTTTCTCATTGACCAACACCCCCAAGTCCTTCTCCGCAGGGCTGCTCTGAATCTCTTCTCTGCCCAACCTGTAGTGCCTGGGATTGCTCCCACCCAGATGTAGGACCTTGCACTTGGCATGGTTAAACTTCATAGGGTTGGCATCAGCCCACCTCACAAGCGTGTTAAGGTCCCTCTGGATGGCATTCCTTCCTTCCCTCCAGCGTATCAACCGAACCACACAGCTTGGTGTCATCGGCAAACTTGCTGAGGGCGCACTCAATCCCACTGTCCATGTCAGCGACAAAGATGTTAAACAAGACCGGTCCCAACACCGATCCCTGAGGGACACCACTCATTACTGGTCTCCAGCCGGACATTGAGCCATTGACCACAACTCTTTGTGTGCAGCCATCCAGCCAGTTCTTTATCCACCGAGTGCTCCATCCTATCAAATTGATGTCTCTCCAATTTAGAGACAAGGATGTCATGTGGGACAGTGTCGAACACTTTGCACAAGTCCAGGTAGATGACATCAACTGCTCTACCCTTGTCCATCAGTTCTGTAGCCCCATCATAGAAGGCCACCAAATTGGTCAGGCAGGATTTCCCCTTAGTGAAGCCGTGCTGGCTGTCACCAAGCACCTTGTTGATTTTCATGTGCCTTAGCATGCCTTCCAGGAGAATCTGCTCCAAGATTTTGCCAGGCACAGAGGTGAGACTGACTGGTCTGTAATTCCCTGGGTCATCCATTTTCCCCTTCTTGAAAATGGGGGTTATATTTCCCTTTTTCCAGTCATCGGGAACTTCACCTGACTGCCATGATTTCTCAAATATGATGGCCAGCAGCTTAGGAACTTCATTTGCCAGCTCCTTCAGGACCCGCAGATTGATCTCATCAGGACCCATGGGCTTGTGCACGTTCAGATTTTTAAGATGGTCTCAAATCAGATTCTCTCCTACAGTGGGCCCAACGTCTTCATTCTCAACGTCCCTGTGTCTGCCTTCCAAGACTTGGGTGGTGTGGTCAGAGCCTTTGCCAGTGAAGACCGAGGCAAAGAAGCCATTCAGAACCTCAGCCTTCTCCAAATCCTGTGTAGCCAGTTCTTCCAAGAGCTTCCTGAGGGGGCCTATATTCTCCCTAGTCTGTTTTTTATTTGCTATGTACCTGTAGAATCCCTTCCTGTTATCCTTAATATCCCTAGCCAAGTTTAATTCTAACTGGGCCTTAGCTTTTCTAACCTGGTCCCTAGCTTCCCAGACAACATCCCTGTACTCTTCCCAGGCCGCCTGTCCTTGCTTCCACTTTTCATAAGCCTCTTTTTTCATTTGAATTTTCCTCAGGAG